GTTGTACTTTGTAAGCTGAACGTTCCGATCACTGCAAATCCGTGCGAACAATTGATGTGCGCTTTGTTCCCGTCACAAGCGCAAGTAGCCACTGTGGGTTAAACCTGCATCTCGTAGGCGGGTGACGTGGGGGTTGTGCTGCTATGTTCAAGTATGATGGGCGCGCTCTTTTTGCGCAAATCTTTGTATCCAACTTGGTGACCTCAGTCTTGTGAGCGGCTAGGACGAGCGTCCGACTGAGGTTTTAAGCTCATAGATGGATGCGGAGGTTCCGACGCCGCTGCCTTAGAAGCGTAGGAGCGCAAAGTATAGTCTTTGAGATAAGTGTCTACGGCTTCTACCTTAGGTATTGTGCGCGCAGGTCCTTCCAGTACAGATTTCATTTTTTGTTTGGATGACGCGTCTTTCTCTTGCTAATTGATATTGCGCTGTTGACCAGAAGCGCGGGACCAACAACAAGCCATTTTCACGAGGACTTGGGCTGATGGCCTGATGGAAATGTCAGCAGTTCGAATGTGTGCATAAGCGGTTATTTGGCCCAGGGTTGTGGTCCCAACTCAAAGGCTGAGATAGGATTTCTGTCGTTCAATCTTGCTCTTTGCAGACTTGGCTAGGACAAGACTGTTGCGCCGCTGCGCACTTCCATTTTGGGGTGACGCGCTGAAGCCACGTCAACACTAACCTACTTTGTGGTTGTTCTTCCTTAAGCCACGACTTGCACCGTTTGCATCCGATTGAGGGACAGCGCTCTTCCAATACGCGGTAAAAACTTCAAGCAGCGGTCCCTGTCGTCGTACAAAAGACGGCAGTGCCAGCATGTTCCTTAACTCATCTGCTGCGATGGCCAAGATGAGAAGCGTAGCTGGCTGCTCCACAGTCATATTTGCGCTCGAACAGAAGCCGGTCTTCACTTCTTTTTGAGAGTTGCAAATGGGAAGCGCTTGGGCTAGAGTCGTCGAAGTCAAGTTCCCTTTCTAAGCGTGGGTTTATGAGACTGGCTGGTACTGCAGTCCATCTCTGCCAGCTTCGAGCTCTTGTTTCTGCTTTTGCGTTAAGACGAGCCATGCTTCTTTTCATGCTTCTTTTCATGCTGTAATCCAAGGTCCCTGCTATCGGTGCCCTGTATGTATCTGTGTTTCAGGGGTCCCAGGCTTGCAGGGTTTCGGGACTCTTATGACTCAGGATTCAGGATGGGTTAGGATCTGGTTGAATATGCATCTCGCACAACACGCCTCTTGCTGGCAAGGACGAAAACGCAACTGAGGGCGCCCCTCAGAGGGCTGCAACTTTTCAGGAAGGCCGCCTCCAGCACTTTGTCGACATCAAAGCTGTCCACCTTTCAAGTGGGTCAGCAATCTTTTCCTCCCCATTCTCCCGGCTCGTCGTGCGGACTCGGCCTAGTGCATCCTGTTTTCCAATCCTAGCAACATAAAAACCAGAAATGTCTCAGTTGTAACCGTCCAGATTAGGCTATGTCCTGTCCTGAGCATGAGCACGCCGCTCTGCTTTTTCGGTTTTCACTAGCATTTATGAGACCTTCACCAGATCAACGAACCAGTCGTGATGACTTTGAATACTTTAGAATACTCGTTTGCCCGTTTACGGAAGCGGCTGGGATGAGGTGCTGTCTGAGGACGCTCTTTCTCATGAGGAGTGACTGTCTCTGAAGCCGCTCATAAACGCCCGCGATTTGTCCTTTTTCAAGATATGATTCGATGCATCCGCAATGAGTCCGTCTAGGATTTTCGGTGACGAGCTTCAGTTCTCGTTCTCCGTGTTCAAGATACAAAACTTTGCAGAGATCAATTGAGTAAGCTCGTTGTTGACTGGTTTCTGGAGCTTGCACGTGTGCCACTCCATCAGGGTTTTGCATGTTTGCCTCTTTACTGCCTCTTCTTTTTATAGGGGGCCAGGACGAGAAAAGTTGAGAGTCTTTCGCATGGTCAAACTCATGTCCTCTGAAGCTGCCCAAAACGAGCACATCTTAGGAGAGTCAGACAGAGCAGTACACCAATGGCTGATAAGAGGCGCAGCGTTCCCTTTGTTTTATACTAGTTCACCAAGCTGTAATTCGAAAACAGCTCCAAACTCAATACAAAACCACTGGCTTCTGTAGAAAGCCTCCTTGGTGTACGAACGCTTGCTCCCAGTTATTGCCTCTGGCTGGCGTCTCCCAATTTCACATCTTCAGTGTCCTGTATAGACCTCAAGGTTGTAAGTTGTTAGTCTTTCAGCGTAAGGGTCGGCAAGGACGAGAGAATACTGAGGATTGCTCGCTACCTCAGAAGGTGTCAGTAGCGGAAGCCCGCCGCTGATTCCCGTCAAGGCAGCACGCTTTTTGTGCTGGTTACACGTGTCGACACTGCAGTTGTCCGCTTTTTGATCAATGATAGCTTTTTCTCCCCGTTGTTTGTGCTTTCCGTGTTCCTTGGACCCGTTTTGATTGCAGCCCTTCCTCGGCCCTACCACATGATGGTCAGTTGTATGTCTACACACAAATTCATGTCAAAGCACACCCTGATCGGGATCCTGAAGAAGAGCGGTTCTGTTTCGATCTTTACAACTGGTCATTCCACTTGCGGATGAATGCTTGAGACCGGTTAAAGTAAGAGTGTCAATGACGCATAATGGGGCTCCTTGGTTTGAGGTCTTGACACCACCTAAGCGCAAAGCGGAACGTTAAGTCGACGCTCAAATTCCTGCGAGTAAGTCTGCTTATGTCCGTTGCTTCCTCCTAAACCACAACTAGGCACTTCAAGAAGAAAGACGACATCTGTGAAACAATTGATGTTGGTTGGTGCTAGTCTTTGAGTATTGATACGCAAAGGTCACTTTCCAGTCGTCCGAAGCTTTCGAGGGGAAACTTGGTGCCCCCAATTGAATGAGCGACTAGGACGAGCGTTCGAGTGGGGTCACGACCTCATCTGATCGTTTGTGGTAGGGACCCGACGCCGCTGGCTAAGAACCATGAAAGCCGCGATTTTTGCCTTTTGGTTCCGCTGCGAGACGCCGTTCGAGTGGATAAGCAAGCAAACGATTTCCGGGCGCCGCTGATGTAAGCTCCAGCATTGGCTATCACGAAAGCATTGCAGCGCCTCTTGGCAGAGGCTGTAGTATGTCTCTGAAGCTACGTCTGCGCCAGTTAACTGTGTTGGTTGTTGTGTCTGAAAACACGTCTCTGCTGTACGCATTCGGTCAAGGTGCAGCAAATGTGTTGTCCAGCTTAAACCCTGTGCGCAAACGCCCAAGTGGTGACCCTCATACTTACAAAAGTCTTCCGCCACACACGTTATACGTTTGCTCTCAGGCTTTTTAGAAGTCATCTGCTACGGGCTGCTATGATGAGCAGCGCTGTGGGACTACTCCCACGCCCTACCGTCTGGACCGAAGCCGTTCTTTACTTTTCCCATCTTGCGTTTGTTTCTCTGTGAACTGAGTTTCCCACGGTTAGCTCTACTTGAGCGCTTGGTCGTCAAACTGGCCGATCCGCAATCCGGCAGCTTTGGGGCTTTCGCATGAGCCTGTCGGAACGAGCCATCCTTGTTCTCATGCTGTGACGCAACATTCTCGTTGTTCGACGCCCCGATGTGGCTCTGTTTCAGAATCTCAAGAATTATCAGATTTTGGGTTCCGGAGTTTTGCGATCACTAGTAACCGATCTGGATCTGGATTCAGAATGCATCTCTAGACTAGCTTTGCTGGCTCTGCATCAACGGAATGCGGTCGTTCCTCACGCTTGCAGTGAACCACGAAGCCCGCCTTTATCCTTGGCAAGGCGCATGCGCTCAAAAGTCGACACTGCAACAGTCTCCCTTTTTAGTATGTTTTCGTTGCTTTCTCGGCTTCTAAATTCCGCATCCTTTGCCGAAGCGAACCGATCTAAAACTCCTTAGCTGTTTTTCTTACCAATCATTGTATGTCAGAATGTTACCTATCTTGGGCCTGAGCAAGCTTTGAACAGTCCTCTCCTTTCTTTGGCTTTCGCTTCCGGTTGCCTCCACGAACGAAGGAGACGGAAGCGATACAATCAAGTAAACCCTACACAGAGTCAGTCGTTCGCCCGGCAAAAGCGGCTAGGATGAAGTGCTCCCTGAGGTTGTCCGTCCTCATGAATTTCCTGTGAGCCGCTCTTTCAGAACCGTCGGTCTTGTTGAATGAGATGATGTCTTTGAGAACAAACCAATGCATTCATAAGTGGGTCAGTTCAGAGGGAAGGCAGGGACGTTTCTCTCATTGAAGCATTGGGCCGAGACTAAAAGCCTCCGCTTGGTCCTTCGTTGGCACACCCCCTGTAGTAGCCCCTTCTTGGGCCCCTTCTGAAGTTGTTTTAAGAGCGCATCTTTTTATCAAACATTCGGAGCCCTCGTATATTGTTACCGTGAAATCACTGGCCTGCTCAGTTCGTCGACCTGTGATTTCTGAGGAGCTTGCTTGATGTTGACAATCTGCTCCACGCTACAGCAGTCTGATAAAAAGATGCCCATCTCATGGTGTTGACTCGCCAGCGCGCTCTACAAGCTATACCCAACTCTTGGCCGTGCTGTGCTCTTTGGTAGTTCCTCCGTCCGTTACAATGCTACGCCTCTTTTTCTCGAAGAGCTGCTTCCATATTCTCTCCAATGACTGATTGTTCCTGCTTTCAATCAGGATAAGAATATTAAATTATCTGCTTTCCGACCCTTTATCTCCCTTCTATACCAAGGTCAAGGATCTAGACGCGGCCACTGGTTGCACAAGAGCTCGCTTCTTTTCATCGCTTTGCTGGACGGTCTTGTTCTTGAGTCGCTTATGCCGCTAACCGTTGTTGGTGCGACACCTTCCGTCATTCCTCTGCTCCAGCCAGGGACCCACCGGGCGTCCGTGGCTCTGAAATTCAGGATCCGCTGTTACTTTTGTCTGTACTCCCATTCACTCAAGTGAAACCTTCTTCTGGGTCACGGAAGTTCAAATACGCAGAGTGGTCGGCAGAATGCTCATAGTATCTTTTGTCCCTTCTCCAGGCACGGGTCACGGGGTCGGCGCGGCGCTCAACGTGCACGAGGGCCCGCAGGGCATCAGCGCGCGGTTCGGCAACATGACGGGGCTCCAGGCGGGGATGATCGTCAGCAACGAACCGGGCTACTACGAGGACGGCGCGTTTGGGATCAGAATAGAGGTGGGTCATGCTGACGTATAGGGTGACGCGCTTACAGTGACGCTTTTTCTGGTTAGTTGCTTGAAGGCGACTTCGGATCATCCCTTTTGGGACGCCAAAAGATGTGGCTGGTATTCTCCGGCCTTTATCCTTTGGTATAACTAAGAGAGTCTTGTGCCTTTTGCTCCTTGGGCCAAATGCCGCAAACGGCCCAATTCTTGTCCGTGTGGCTGTTTGCATCGTACGTACTGGCAATTCACAAGGATAGATTGGTGGAGGAGATTGGTCTTGCAAAAGTAGGGAGCACAACAGGCAGGGAGGTGGCCCTTCTGTCCTCCGTTTTCTCTAGTCTAGTGCGATCTCGGGATGTCCTTTACTGCGCTGACTACGCATTGTTTGTTGAATTCGAAGTAGCCTGTATTCTTCCACGGACTCAGCCTCAGCGACTGTTGGTATGCTTGATACCGTCTTTGCGCCCTTTGTTCTCGCGTCTGCTCGTGTTTCGCACGGTCTATAAGAAGTTGCTGAAAGGGGCTCCGTATGACCTTCTTTACGCCTAACTGAACGCCTTTGACTTTCTGCAGAACCTGTTGGCCATCAAAGAGGTGTCTACACCGAATCGGTTCGGGGGGTCGGCTTTCTTGGGCTTCGAGCGCCTGACGTTTGTCCCCATCCAAACGTCGCTGTTGGAGCTGGCTCTCATGAGCGAGAGCGAGATCGAGTGGCTCAACGACTACCATCATCAAGTTTGGGAAAAGGTAAGCGCTGCTTACTCACGTCCCCGGGAACCCAAAGATTGAGAAGCTTTTGCCTACGATCTGCTTAGGAGTTGCCTTGGACGGTCGAAGTGCGACGGTGGAATTGTGAGCTCAACAGTTTCGCCATCTTATTCAGAAGGGTGCAACCTTTCAGGCGGCTGAAAAGAATTGAAATTGGCCGGAGGTTCACAGAGAAGCGTGCGAAGCTCCATACTTTGGGAAGAAGCTTGTCTGACGGTGCTTTCAAGACGATCATTGGTGTCTCTATGCGGAAGCTTTTAGTTAAGTTCTAAACGTTTAAGGAAAGCGTTCTGAGCATAATAGCTGCAAGAAGGCTTTCCAGAACGGGAGCTTCACAGAAGGGTTAGTAAGTGATTGGCTGCAAGAAAGGAGGTCCTTACTTTCGAAAGAGAAGTTGCTTCTCAAAAAGGGAAAAACCTTCTCGTCAAAGTCCTTCCCGCAGGAGCCTTGACCAGTAGATTTCCGCTTTCCAGGTGTCCCCTCTCGTGTCCGGCGACGCCAAGGCGTGGCTCAAGCGGTGGACTCGGCCAATTTCCAAAATCAAGTCGCCCTTTCCCGGGTCGCAAGCACATCCCGCTGAAAAGGTCCCGGCAGCTGTATAAGGGAGCTAGATTGGCATTGCAGATTCGATAAGATGCTCGAAGGACTTGCCGTAGACTGAGCACCGGCGATTTATGGCGGGAAGGGGTCACGGACAAGACTGCTGACCGGACCTACCCGAACTGTACAGGAGTGTAGACTTTGAGCTGCTTTGCGTCTAGGATGGGCACAAGGATGGACGGAACGTTGTACACAACATGATAGAAAGCGTGTGTACATGCATACAATTGTGTCGTTCCTCTTGGCGACGACTCAGCAATCTCGACTCGACAGACGTTCCTTACCATGCCTCTGTCAAAGGCGGTCTTCGGAGTTGCACTTTCAGGTACCGCCCTGTCCTTATGCAAATTTGAATCTGTTCCCGATAATGAGATTGGTTTAAAACATCGACAGTTATGCGGCTCGCTGTGGTCTCATGAACTGACAAGGTCCATCGGATCATAATCCGGCACGTTTTGTAGTTACTTTGAAACCGACGGTGCATGCAGTGCACCATGGGTAGGCATTGAAGAGTTCACGAGTCGTTTTCCGACCATCAAGGAAGTTGCAGTAATGATAGAGGCGAAGCTGAATGCTTCAGGTTTACTCACACACGTTCGCGGCGGCACAATCATTGCGTGAGTCACGTGTTGTGCGACTCGGCGAAGCCGGAGGAAGCCGTCATACTCCTTTTGATCCCACTCTAGTTCACTGCATTACTGTTTGCAGCCATGCATGCACTGACTTCTGCTCGAAGACCGATTTCGGATCAAGCTATAAATCATCATGTGCGTCCGATCTTCTTGACATGGCACGTGCGTCCGACTTGGTGACGTGCAGAGAGCCGCCATGCGGCCGGCAAATGATGTGTCTGTGGGAAAGAACGCCGTCATAACATGCGGTAACGCGTTACCGCATTCGACGAGGGATCTTATTCAATCTAATTTTGCATCCACTGATTCAGCAGTGACCCCGGGCCGGGGCCGTCGCTTACCGAAAACGATCGTCATCACTCCATGATTCGCAATTTTAATGTTTAATTGATGATATATTGATGTAGTTTGGACCAGAAAAGACTCAAACATGATCCGACGAAGAGAAATTGCAAAACCCCGCCGCTCCGGTGAAACGTCGGAGCAAATATCAACGCCCTCTCTTCATGTTACGATTCAGCATCAGCCCCTGAAGGTCTGGGAGGGTTTGAGGCAATATTTCTGTCGGAAAGCAGGGTGAGTTCAGTTTCTCAAGTGCGGGAGGCTAGCTATACCCACCGCTAACATTAATCTCTGCGGAAGGGCTTTTACAAATCGGCGCTGACGTCATGATTTCTCCAGCGCCAGTGGCAGGTTTGACGTCATCCCCGAGCCCCTACCGTCGTACGCCGAAAGGGCAATAGGAACCGCGTTGGCTGACTGGCAGCACCGGCTATAAGTGACAAATTGCTCGAGTGTGCTCAGCTTAAGCCACATGATACGGTTGAGCGATTTTTGGGAGTCGGAGATGTTTGAACCCTCAGGCACAGGAACATAGAGAAAAGGCAGATCTGGTTAATGACCCTGGTGGGTCTCATTCAACTGAGCCGCGCATTCGGTTGGCAACAATGAGAGTGACGGGCAGTATGCAGTTCCAGCTGGCAGCCACACCTGTCTCGAAAAATTCGGGCTCGTTCTTAAATGAGCTTGTCACCTGTTAACGAGCTGAGAGAGGGAGAGATCAAGAGAAAAGAACGTATTAACCGCAAGTTAGAGTCACTGAATAGTCTCGACTTTCATTTGAGAATTGTCATTAATCCGGGTCCTGATTCTTAGTGTACAAAAGTGCGGCTGCGCCGCCTGAGATGTCGGCGACCCATCGTGTGAGAAATGAAGCTGAAAGGAATTACCGGCGCTTCTTGCGCTTTGATTACCTGCAAACGTATTTCACTTCTGCATCTTCGAAAAGATTAGCTTCAAACATGAGGTTTCGCGCTCTCTACTCGCACATTTCAATCAGACCCAGTCGTCACATCATGCGGTGCCACGCTTGCTCGTCACTTGACATGACGGCCTCGGCGCGTTTCCGCCAGAAAGGGGCTTCGCTCCACGTCATGTATTACTGACGAGACTAGAATGCTGCATGGAGTTCAGACTGGCAGTTTAGAGGGGACTGCCCTGACCGGAGGTTGTGTTGATGTGACAGCATGCAGAAGCGATTTTAATTGATGGGGAACGAGGTTCACAGGTGACTCTTCAGGATTAAGGAAGACTGACTATTCACAGGTGGCCGCTTCAAAGTTGCGTTGGGGTATGTTCCATTTAGTGAGGACCTCTGCAGAAAGGTCGGCGGGCCGTACAATCTCACTCGGCGTCTGGGTTCCACGCGTTTCTGGCCCGTCTCTGGCGCAGAAATGTTGGAAAGTTAAGGTCCGCAGCTGCCGGTCTCGGATCAGGTGAAACCCTGGTTAGATCCTCTCTGTTGCCCATCAGGATTCTCTGTACCTTCTTAACTTGGCTGTGGGTTGATCCAGTCATTTAGGCTTCCTAAGTGACCTTCTCAATTTCTGAAGCGCACCGGACAAAAGGTAGATCGAAGAGGTGCTCAAGTTCGCTAAGATTCGGTCTTGTCATGGGTTTTTCAAGCGGATCTGTCGGTTCTGGCTCTGGAGGACGCATCCTGAAGCCGGCCGCCGTAATCATGGTCGTTCTTCTGGTTGCTGCCGGAATCATGGGAAGAATTTCCTTTTGGGACTCGGCTCTTGGCGTTGGTGACGCTGGTTTGGTGAGTATGACTCTACGCGTCGCCCCAAAGCTGGCAATAGATAGGTCTGGGAGGACTGTCCCTGAGCCGGTTGTTGGCACGGCCATAGAAGCCTGGAAAAACGGCTCTCTGAGTGGCAGGCAATTACATGACAAGTTGGGACTCACGAACTTCGCAGTTATTCCGGCAATCTACAACTGTTTCAATGCGCCGTACGAGGGGCTGGAAAGAGGGGACGGACAGCCGTGCTTTTACGTGAGGACTCCGATCCCGGTGATTGGAATGAACACGGTGAATAACCCGAAGATGCTCCGACGGCTCGTTCTGAGTATTGACGTCCCCGTGCAAGTCATAGTCATCGTTGTGAACACCATTCCGGGAGAAGCCGGGAAGCAGGATGAGCAGGATATGATGGCCGTTATAGACGAGCTGCAAGAACTGATCGGGAGGGCCTTCTTTAAGGTCATCAGAAGCGGGTGCAACCGGGGCTGTGCCGGTGGTTGGAACTCCATTATCCACTCGACGTCGAGCGCTCCTTGGTGGCTCGTCATCAATGATGACGCAGCCTTTACGCCCGGCGCGCTGCGCACGCTCCACGATTACGTCAGCGGCACGCCGGACGTGGCCGTGTATAAGCTCACGGGGTTCCAAGTGTTTGTGCTGACGCAGCTCGCGGTGGCCAAAGTGGGGGTGTTCGACGAGAATATCTGGCCTGCTTACGCCGAAGACTGTGACTACGACCTACGTATCCAGCTCAGCGGAGTCTTGGTCGCTCCCAGACCCCCTGAATTTACCAATATTCATGGGGACCCAGAGTCGGGTGCTTCCTCGTCTCTTGTGACTTCCAGGGGGGGTGGTCACCCCGACTACGGGCGGCGGAACCAATGCTCCCATACGAACAACAGGATGTATTACCAGAAGAAGTGGAATTTGTCTTCCCAGAGTTGTGGGAAGCAGCTTGAGGGGATGTTCCTCACGCCGCACGGCAACCCTTCTCGAAGCCTCGCCAGCTGGACGTTCGACGAAGCGCTTCGTGCCCGGTCCGAGACGTGCTGGGATCCGGCCAACAGTATAGACAACTGGGTTCAAGAGGACGGTCCAAGCTTCTTCGCCGAGGTTGCTCTCGAAGGGGACCTCCCTGCTTCTGACTGCAAAGAAGGACTCGTTACTCTTCAGCCAAATAGAACGGCTGAGCTAGGTAGCGTTGGAGCCTCGCTAGAGAGTGGACTGAAGACACCTCCGTGCGTCTCTCCTTTCGCAGGATTGTAATGTAATCGTTTTTGGAAATGTTCATCCGTGTGAGTGTCACGCTTACGTTATCGAGTCGCACGTGGCGTGGGTCAGCCGTGTTGCGTCCTAGCCACCTGACGAACGTGTCCGTTAGTCAAACGGCCAAAGAGTCATTCAAGGTCTTAAAATAAGAAAGAGCTAGCCATCAATCTGGAGCGGTCTTCCTCCTCTGAAGGTCCTGTAAGGCCATGGCATTATGATACGATGCAGACGGACTAGCTAGACTGGCGGAGGATGGTCTCGAATCTGCTCGAATGTGTTCTAAACCCCCGAAGTCTACACATATAAGTTGATGTTGATTATGTGGCACATGAAACCTCAAAGAACTCCTATAGAGCATGAGTGAAACAGAGTCTTCTATATTGGCATAGCGAGGTACACTAGCTTTATTGGCGGTCGCTCACAGCTCATTATCTTTTTGTGTTATTTTCAAGTCGATGAATCCCAATTCCCATAATCTGTTCATTTTGATTCACCAGACTCGAACGTCCGCTTAGTACAGCTTTTCGTGGCACGCCGGATGTGGCGGCCGAGGCTCGACGCCCTTGGAGGGTCGAATGTAGGTGACCTTAAAGTTCCTCTACAAAATGGATGGGATGGAGTCCGCTGAATACACATTACGATCATAAAAATGAATTAATACCTTGCTATGATACACAAGAACCGCTTGATATTTTCGGTGTGTTTGAAGGGCCGAGCAATATCATGCGGTTTCAGATATGCGGGCGCGGGGCGCAACCTGTTCTGAGCTGTTGGTTGCTGTAACGCTTGAACGCTGAAAAGCGCGCACGGCTTCTATGTGCTATCGACACAACGACCGTGATCGTTCCTGCTAGCAAGAAACTTGAAAGGTGGCGTGCATGTTTACGAATGCGTAATCAGTCCGTTCATTACGTGGGAGCTCATCCAGCTGAGCCTCGCAGATTCGCATCCACAGTCTCACGATGGGGCTGTCGTTGTCTTGTTTACAGCGCGCGGAACTCCCATGCATGGAATACTACTATCTCGTTTCGCAACTCATAGATTTGGTTCAGCAGCAAACCAGTACCGGGCTTCGAGCCCTTACATGAGAAAACTTAAAAGGCTGCAATCTGAGCAAGCCCATATATATTATAACCTCGCCCTCGGACCGAAAGTCTCAATCATCAACCCCACCAACTTCGTGATTGTCAAAGTACGCCTGCATTCATTGGCTCTCGTGGTGACGTCAGATACCGTACTGGAGGTAGTGCAAAAGCTACAGGCGCTCCTTTTGTGGCCGTCGCCTTCCCTCAAAGTTCATTTAATTTTATCAAATGTCCTTTCATTTCCTTTCCTTTCCTTTAATTTCCTTTAATCTCCTTTGAATTCCCAAGCCGCCGCATCAGTTGGGCTGGGCGCAGGCTTTCGAGGTTCTGGCTACTCCCTGTCAAGTCAGGTCAAAGCATCACCTAACATGCATGTGACAATCTCGCAACAGGCCGATCGAGTGTGAGGATTCCCTGACTGAGCAAGCCCAAACGGCAATTAGTTTGCGACCGTCAGCCATTCTACAACCATTCTTCACCAGCTCACTAGAAGCAATATTGGAAGCGCTTTCCCGTAACGACGGAGGTCAACGAGCCCTGCCATTCCGGCCTGAGCCGGAGACGGAGGTCATAAGGTCACTTCAATGATCTTCCTCTCACCTTTCCTGATCGGCACTCCCTGTATCTATGCTTGCTCCCGACTTGATTGTCCATCCACGTCCGAGCGGCAAATGCTTTGATCGATCATGAGCCGGAAGGACAAAAGCGGCCGTACAGACATTCATATGTTCAACCAGGCGCGAATTAGACTCCGACGGGCTGTCCGGACAATTAGTAGTCGTGTTTGACTCATGGGGCCGCCACGCCTCCGCCGCGCTAATTTGGTGCTCATAGCGCGGGCATGACGCCCCGCAATTTCTTGATGTGACGCCTCCCGACCGCGCGGGGCGGCTGATTTTCAAGGTGCGCCCTGGCCTGATGTAGCTTCTTGTCAGCTAGTGGGCTTCCGATCCTGAGGTAGCTAAATCCCCCGGCTTTTAGCGATTGGACTCGCATACAGATCTAGTAGCGCAGGCCATATTGATCTTGTAGGACTATTGTACTTTTTTCTGAAAATGGGGCACCTACCGGTATTCTTATAGAAAACTTTCAAAGAAATTTTGCCCAGGACGACGTTCACGACGAGGACACGATTCCATCAATATAGGGGCCCGGCCAGGAGGGTTGAGACGCAACTCCTATTTCACTTCAGAGCCATTTCACTTTAACTTCCAAGCTTCCTGGGCAAACCAAAAAAGAACCCTAACCGACAGAATCACCCGCTCCACGCCCGAACCCACCCTAACCGCCAAACCAACCTACCCGTCTCCCGGGCGCCTATCCTAAGTGAAATGGCTGTTGAGTGTAATGGGAGTTACCAGACTCCAGAGTGTCAGAGACGACTAAGCAGATACATCATGCATTAAATGCATGCACATTGCGCAGCGCATGGTCGGAAACTCACATGCTCGGTGACAGCATGCGGGAACTTCGCGGTTACCGTAAGTTAGATTCGATCTGTAAAGCGTCGAAGTTCCCAACCCCATGGTAACGGTATCGTCTAACTAGTTTCCTGAACCCACAGCCTGCTCACTTCGCGCCCCTCCTCGTCCCAACGCCCCTAGCTAACCCACCTTTGAAGTGTCAGGTTTGAGTGATATTACCATTCATGGAATCGACGGAATATCATGGTAGTGTTACCCTATGTTGAAAATCTTTGTTAATCCTGATGCCATTATGGCATCATTGGTCATGCCCCGCCGTTCCAACTTCTGACGCCGCGGCGCGGTCGAAGCTGCCACCAACCTTCCCCAGCTTGCGGGGTTTGTACCGGCTTCCCTGACGATTTACCGGTCATAATCAGGCGGGACAAACCGCCCGGCACGGGTTGGGCGCCCACCGTTTGACAGCCGATTTTTCAGCCGGTAGTTGTCTTTGGGACCGGTGAATTCATTTCTGCGCCGGCCGGGTGCACATTGCACAGTGCACACCGGTAATACGCATTGACCGGGCGCCGGGGGACGACGGTCTCCACAGTACGGTACTTCAGTGTTGACTTTTTCTGTGCGCCACTCCCGTGTTTTCATGCTCACCAATCATATATTCGCATTGCGATCAAGGAGTTTTCTAACTATTGCCATTGGTGCGAGCCTCACGTCTGATTGGATCAGCGCAGCAGCGGTGGTCCCCATCCCTAGCGAGCTTTCCCTTCCCTCATAGCCCTCCCCAACTTCTTTCCTCTGCATTTCAAGATCCGCCCCCCAGCATCAGAACCCCTAACCCCCGGGCCGCTGCCGTCTGAATCTATCGGTGCCCTTACGCACAAGCTAGCTGAAGAGATATCGTGCAGGCCTCAAGAATCAATCTAGATCAGGCAAGACAATGTCGTTGAAACCAAGCCCGCTGCAGGTGCCTAGTCCCAGATCCAGGCCAGCTGGGACATCAATCTCTGCCGCTGGCGCCAAATCTCCTTTGGGTAATGCAGCCATCCCTCCGAGCCTTACCCGTATTGGAAGCTCAATCCACAGCCGCATCGCGAGTTTCAAGTCAGGTCAAGGGCCTGTCTCCCCCGGCAATGCAATGGGGGGCCTGAGCACAAGTTCTGGCGCGGGCTTGCAAGCTGCGGGAAGCGCAAAAGCAAGGAGGGTTCTTGGGTTTGCAAGCCGCATCAAAGCATTCTGCGGATCGAGCCTTTTCAACGCCTCGCTTGGGGTGGCGTGTTTTGTGGTTGCTGTGCTAGCGTGGCTGCAACCTGTTTCGCCCCCTGGAGCAAACGACCCGGGCTCAAGTGTGCCGCAATCAATAGTATGCTGCTCAATAGAGAATTTTACAGAGGACACCCTTTCGGTCTTTAATTGCGCGAGCGATGCAACTCATGGGTGCTCGCGTTTTGGTGAGCTGGCTTGCGATGGTCCGGATTCGTCGTTCGTTTGCCGGCTGGGTCCCCGGAACTATAATTGTACGGGCCCTGCACCAATAAGGACTTGTACAAGGATTCGGGCTGCCTTTTCCTTGCTCCCTAAGCCACCACCGGCGTCGAGTGCGTTCGTATCTTCTGGCCGACGTTTTCGGCAGTGGGAGATTCTCTTCATCTGTTTAGGAGTATTCTTTGTCTGTGTCGCATGTATTCTAGCTGTCGTGCGGTCGAAGAAGTGGATCACTGCAAGGAGCAAGGGCCTTCATGTTGGCCCTACCGTAGAGCCCCCGTAGAGCAGCTTGTCTTCCTTCACGCAGCTGCTTGCCTACATCTCCAAGATTGAACAGGTCATGGCTACCTCACATGCTTGTTAATTCCTTCAGTGTTCTGCAAAAATGATCTGTTCCAGTCGAGTTCAATCAGACTTTGCATGTGAATATGAACAGGCTTGACTGGCTTTTGTACAGACAGCTCATAGTCAAAGCACTACCAACCTAGATTATACGTGTTTTGGATAATACACATGTTATTATAGACAGCCCAGATGAACATGCAGCTAGAGAACTTTGTTACAAGTATTATAGTGAAGATTATAATTAATGCATATATGAATCATGATGGGGTGCAAGCCTTGAGGTGCGAGGACTTGCATCGGATCAAGCCCATGAGAAGCTCAACGATCAAATCTTGATGCGGTAGGCAGCTATCACAGCTCAGTAGTATATATAGTATAGTTGGTTGACTCAGTGATGCCTTTGAAGCCTTATTTCTCACGTCATCAGCGGCGCTGCAGATGTTGACATATATGTTTAATGACATCTGATATCGGACTCATTTTAGCCTGTTACGCAGAATATACACCTACCGCTTACGTTACTCCAAGAATCCATGTATCAAGGTACTATAACTTTGAAAGACTCAGCTAAGAATATATTGACAGCACAGCACTGCATTGAAGTTGTCGCGCAAATGCCACATTGATGCCAACAGTCACAGGCTGTTCACTGAACTTAAGCTAGTACTAGTAACGTACTCGATACTTTATTGACTTTAGTCAGTGAGCCGCCCATGCGCGCGGCGTTCTAATTGTATGTATCGATCGTACGTGATGGGCGCGTTGCGCCACCATCACGTGACATGTGATCTTTGTGATGTATATCATGGGCCAGCCGGGTCATTGCAAATTCAGGCGGCACGCCAGTGTAGTACGCGTATGCAGGCGCGTACGGCACGGTGCAGCGCAACGCCGCGCGCCCCGCGGCGGCGGGCTGTGGGAAGGCTTGGGTGGCTTGACGGGCTCGGCTTTGTCCAAGTTATTGGTTTAGAAGCAGCCAGAGCGGACGTGAGCAACTTCGACAAGTGGTACGAAGGCGCCCCATGTGCATCTGTAGTTGATTGTTGAACCTATTTTCTGATGGATGGTCTACTGTTCTACATGCATGGTGGCCAACGGGGCCCTACGCGGCATGGGCCATGCATCATTGCAGCTACTATAGGTAATTAAGGTGGCGCCACTGCCATCGGAACCAATGATCGTTGCGGTGAACCGGGGCCTATCAGTGAGATGGTCGACTATAGCTCTTCAATGGGCGGCGTCAGTGTGCAGACTCGTGCATTCCAACACGGAGTGCCATTGAAAGTGAACATAACTGTCTAATGCTAGGTTCAACATGCTTTCTAACAAGACGGGCCCATCACACGTACTCACGCCCGGCGGCCGCCGCAGCATTCGAACGTGGAATCATGTCTAATACTGTTCCAAAAAAGTCAACTGTCGGCGGCCTGCGGCGGCCGAAAACATAGACAGGCACGAGCCTGTGACAACTTAGTAAGCAATGAATCCATGCTTATCATGTAGCAATCGTCGCTCAAAACTGGATGCAATAAACTTCAAGTTTCCCGTCGATACACCTCCGGCGTAAAGTCTCAATGAAAGCCCTGAATTCAGACAGACGTACTTGAATGTTCAGGACACGTCCGGTTGCCTCCCTATTGCACCCCTTTCATAAGGGCCTTGGATATGCATTGCTGCGTCCATTAATATGGCACAAAGCTTACAGCTTGACTTGCTACTTAAGTTACCTCGTCCTTTAAATACTATACGACGTCTTCAAGTTTCTTACCTACGTTGCTATTCGATAACGAAAAACTCCGCATACTTGATGTATCCGTTGACGACTGCGTTGCAAAGGAGGTGGACTGATTTGTACGACCGGACGACACCGTAAAGAGAGTAGTCGGCCGTTCTGGCAAAGATGGCAACTCCATTTGTTGAGAAAGCATGGCAAAGCACTCCCGCATGGTTGGCCGCAGATTTACTACCGTGTGGACACACATCAATCCAACCTGCATAGCAAGCATCCGAAGTGTCAAAGGGAAGTCCCTTTGGTTCTTTCGACCAGTGGGTGCAGGAATGCTGTATCGAACTGCACCTAGATTTGATTGCTCCAATCAAGACGCAATCCCAGATGCCCAAAATCGCAATATCAAGTGTTACGCCCATGTCTTGATCTGGCAGGCTCCCCATACGGCCCACAGAGCGATTCGCACAAACGCACGTTCACCGTAGAAGGATGGAAAACGCTCGACGACGACCGCTTGCGGCAACACGAAACGGGGGCTTTGTTCCGTGCGAAACAGTCGCCTAAGCATTTCCAAAAGCACGTCAAGGAGCGCTACAAAAGTTGTTCTCCAACAATATCTCATGCAATTTGGATACAAGGCAATCGAAGCTTCTGCGAAAAACGGTCACAGGTCCTCTCCGAAAACAAAAGAATTGTCCCACCCTAGTCGTCAGCGGCAGATTTTCAAGGACTCACCTTGATGGCAACCGTTATAGTCTGTTCGTGCACCGGAATCGCCTCCACCAGAGCCGGATCCACAAGCTTTAACAACTCGCCAGACCCCGCCACGTTCCAAGCCCACTCGGTCAGAAACACCTGCATGACGCACGTGGTCGTCAGCATTCGTTGCGTCACTCCCACAGCGAATGTGAGATGATTATGCGCCCGATTCACAGTGCCTGAATCGCCGTACAACAGAAGCCTCCGTTGCTTTCCGATGGTAACAGAGGAAGCCCTCTTTACCTAAGTGCTGTTCAATGTGGAGAATGAACGACGCGTGATCTCAGAAGCACGGCCACTCACGAGCGGTAGCATTCCCTATGCTACTGAAGCAGTTATGCGAGCATGGACAACAAGAATAACAGCCAAGCAAGCTCAGCCGAGAAAAGGTCTTCTTTGATCTCTGAATTTTTGTGCTGATTGCTATGAAGAGTGTTGCTCACGAGCACTTCTCATGAGACTAAGACTAAGACTGAGACTGCGAGCAACAACTCAAGACTGAGACCGAGTCTGAGATGTTCACGAGCAACACTCTGGAGACTGAGACCGAGCGAAACTCGTGTGGCTGAGAAGTCCGCTAAAGGCTTGATTAACCATGTGGGTTAGGCAGTTAACCTCCTTCCTCTCTCCTAACAAAGCCTTTGCTCACGAGCAGTTACACCTGAGGAAGCCGCAAATGACTTGGAGAAACGTGTGGGTTAAGCTGCTAACCTCCTCCGCCTCTCGTTCCGAGTCGGTTGGTCTTCGACCAGTGACCAACGAAAGCAGCACCACCCCAAAAGCGTACACGTCCGACTTCTCCGACACCTGGCCCGTCGCCACGTACTCGGGGGAAAGAAAACCCCAGGTACCTCTCACCCCTGCAAAAACAAGATAAATAGAATCAAGAAAAGTATCTGTCCGTATCTGCCGCTCTCAGGCTCTGAGTTGAAAGGATACCTAGTCCTTAATGTATTGGGCAGAGTGTCTCCCTCCCCTAATCAAGGGTTCGGCTTCCAGGCCACCTTTGCCCCTGGCCGGGTAGCCCTCACCCCTGAAGGAAAAGAAGGGCAAGAACGACACATGTTGGTGCATGAAAACAGTTTTGAGCAGAGACTATGCGTTGTGGAGATGCCGCGGCTTCCTCAAAGCACGAGAATGGGACGAGCGGTTGTCTGGATGCTCAGCGGAGGAACTCGTCCCGAGCTCTTATGACACAAATGCGATGGGTGTCACAACAAACCACCCCGTATTTGCTGACCTCAGCCTTGTGTCACTAAAGCTGGAAGACATGAAGTGGTCTCCGTTGTTCTGGCAGTACATGTCCGAAATCGAGTTCAGTAAGCATCTTTTTCCAAGACACCCTCCAAGCTCGTAGCCGACCGAAGATCCATTGCCTTTGTCGTCCGAAGCCAATCGACGTCTTTTAAGTCAGCGCCTTTAAGTTCCTGTCAGAAGCGGTGTCTGGCAGTCGCCTTTCACAGCGAGCTGGCTGAAAAAGGACGAACCGTGATCCAAAGAGCCCAAGACAAGCATGAAATTGTGACGAGCTGACATCAACGCGCTGAATGCGACCAAACTTGCACGCCAATCTGAGTAGTCCGCTTACCCGTAGAGACGTGGGTTTCCTCGTCCTTAGTAAACTTGGCCAACCCGAAGTCCCCAACTTTGGCTTCCAGCTCCTGATCCAACAGAATGTTGGACGGCTTCACATCCCTGCAATCAGGAAGCAAAGCTGAGTACAAGGTCGGCTTGTAGGACATGCAAACAATGCACTGCGAAGTTTGGTGTCTGCTTTCTCTGGTTGCATGCGATCAGAAAAGGTCGAATCCAGGCAACGCGGCAGGGTGTCTTGCTTCCTTATGCAGCGTGCAGATCTGCAGTGGATCGTAGACCGTTCAGACCTGAGGAACCCGGACGGTCAGAAGAGCACAACAAGGAAAGACAAGCGGTGTCGTCTTTATACATCAGAGTGTCCATCTTCCACTTCACTCTTGATCACTGTAACAATCATACGTGTTCAGAAGGGTCCTCATACCAAAGTGCTCCGAAGGCAGCTTGAGCTTCCGTCAGAGTCATTCTGATTAGAATGAGACACAGATAACACCCAACAAAAGTTCGCAAGGCAAGTAGAAATAGGTTTTCTATGAGGTTGACTCACCTATGGATGATGCGCGGCTTGCAGTCCTGCAAGGATCGAAAGAAATCTATCGATTAGATCGCGGTCACAATTTCGGTTGCATTAGCCCTGCGAACGAAGCACTCATTCCCGTCGTCTCTTTCTACAAGTCGGGAGTCGGACTAGAGAGGGAAGGAAAGTATAAGCAGGGTACCATCTCTGAGGGACTTCGCAATTGGCCGTCTTCAGTGCCATCGTCGAAGACAGCATCACGTACGAACTCCACTGCATCTGGGTCCCGAGGAAACTTCTCATCGGACGGGCTAGATTGCATCTTGAAAGTTCGCCTCAGCGACCAATCTGCCCATCCCCGCAGTACCTGGTCGCCGAGGCGTTTCGGGTCACAGGACGCCCTTTGAGGTGATTGTGTCCCAAATGATCCGATGCAAAAGTGAGGCTGAGTATATCCTGGCGCTCACCTCGTGCAGATACGCAAGCCCCTTAGCGGTCCCCAGAGCGATCTTCAGCCGCCGCGGCCAGTCCAGAAAGATGGCCGGCTTGTTCATCTGTTTGGTGGACTCGCCGGGGGTGGTAAAAAGGTGATCTTCCAGGGAACCGTTGGTCATGTACTCGTAGACGAGAAGGATTTGGCGGTCGGACGCGTGGACCCCATTAATGGTCAGGATGTGCCGGTGGCGGCATGAGACCATCGAGGAGACCTCGGTCATGAACTCCTGCAGTCGGAGATTTGTACTTTGTGATAGGCCTTCTCTGACTTCCTGAAAAGCGATTCTTTTTCGAAGTAACGGAGATTGCGGTCACATAAGAGGGGCGACACAAGACCATGGACGAGACCTCGGTCAAGAACTCCTGCACTTGGAAATTTCACTTTGAAGTTAAGCCTTTTTTTAGGATCCTACTTAGGGACTCTACTGAAAAGTAACGGAGATTGCGCTTAGACAAGAGTAGCGGCACAAAATCATGGACGACACCTCGGTCATGAACTCCTGCATTTGACAGCGGGTGACTTTAGACGAGAAGTAACAGGCCTTAAGTCAAAGTTGCTACGTCCCGTGTGCTTTGCTCTTTGACGATGTCATGTGGTCCGGATTTGATCCTTGTCGATATGATATGGACAGAAGGAAAGCGCAGGTTGATGGGATGGAATGGACTCAAGGAGTTCCGTCCTGATTCAGCCCACCACGCAGAAACAAATCCGATGGTATTGGTTGGGACGAAGTGGTCTTGGAAGAGCGTGCACTGATATCAGAAGACTGCTCTTTGGTCTCGAAAGAACGTGGCCGGAGGGAAGTGGGTGAGGAACTGACGAGCTTAAAGAAAACGCGTGTGCTTGGAGAAAGTGCGGTTGTTTACAGTGAAGGGCAAAAAGAAGGGCCGTCATCGGAAAAGGTGCACTTGTCGACGATGCACAGACCTGTAGTAAACAAAAAGCAAAAGACTTCTTCGACGGTTCGCAAAGGCCATAAGGTCTACAGTTGTGAAAACTCAAGCCTTTCGACGAGGTTCGCTGGCTTGCATCACCAGCGGTTCTGACGTTCCTTCCGAGTCGGCCACTTGATAGGCGACGTTCGGTACATTTCGAAACAAAGCTCGTAGCAACCGTCAGAGACTTGCATCCGGCTGAGGGGACTTTTGGATGCCGTCAGGAAAGGCACAGACTTCTACAACAGAGACGTGCATATCTATTAGTGGCCGATACGAAAATCGTGCCCCCAACTCACCTCCGCGCCGTCAGGCGTTGACGGCTTTGCAAGCTGCTTCACCGCGACCCGCGTCCCGTCCGGCAACTCCCCCAGATACACGCTCCCGGAACCGCCCTTGCCGAGCAGCTGCTTCGCGGCGAAGTTCTGCGTCGCGGCGCGCAGTTCCGGGAACGAGTACCAGTGCAACGGCTCCGAAACGGTCCGCGATTTGGAAAGCTTCGCCTTGAACCGGTCCTGGTCACGGATCGATTCCGTCCGTCGCTTTTGACGGCGCCACAGAAGGAGCCCCATTACCGCAATCGCCACAAAAGCGAAGACCACAGAGACCGAGACTAGGCTCGCAATCAGCGCCTTTCTGCGTTTGGACCTGCCGGACGGACCCAGTTCGAGAATCCGGAGCTGCAGCTCAGGGGGGAAATTCCAGTAACAATTTGCGCGGTCGACCGCCCCTTGGTACCCATAGTTCTGTGGCCAGAAGCTGCCGGAAAAAAAGATGCCGCAGTACGAGATCGAGGGCGTGTCCGCATACGGTCCGGCCATTGTGACAAAGGCCTCCTGGACCGTTGCCGTGCAGGAGGCATTGCATCGCCCGGGGGCACACACTGCCTCAGTTTTAGCCTGTAGCTCCGGGGGGGTTACGGTGTATTTGTTGCAGCGCAGCGCGATCAGGGGGATAAAGCTGCTGAGGCGGCATTCTTCATAGAGGGTTTCCAAGAGGCCGTTGGCGACCAGTGCGGCCTTGAAGCTCGCGGTGCACGCATTCGTCTCCGTCTGCAAAAAGGGGATGGAGAGAATCAGTAGCAAGGGGATAGGCGACTCAAAAGCTCTCAAGTGGCGGGAACAAATAGGGTCGGGAAAAGGTTACCGCAGACGGAGGTGTCTTTCGATCCACCAGCGCCTCTGCTTGTATTCCTTAAGAAGAACCTGCGAAGGTTAGACTCCATACAAAATAAGCGCCGAAATTTATGGTGAGCGACAAAATGGTATCCTTATCCGACAACCCGAGAACCAAAGGACACGGAACCGGTTCAGGAGCCCACCTCGTAGTTTGGAGTACCAGTGCGGTTGATGAACTCGTACCAAACCTGCCCGCCTACGGCCAGTACCGTGTCGCAGCACCGATTGCCCTGCTCTTTGAGCGGTCCGCACGCCCGGACCACGTTCGAGTAGTCCACCGCATCGTAGCCCAGAGAACACGTGGCGGACTGTGGTAGGTTGTCGACGGGGCTGTTCCACAGGCATGTTGCGATGCTGTTGGCGATCGAGAGGGGGTACGCCGCAGCCACGAGGGCTATGTTGGCCAGGTCTGCAATAGCGAGAACGTCTCCCAGTTTGGATGGAAGCGGGGGAGGAGTGGAGCGAACAATGTAGAAAGACATCGCCTTTTGGCTGAGGGAATTTTGTGTATTTTGCAAGCCGATGACTCGCCCTCCTGAAAACGGTGGCCCGCAAATTGAGGACCGAAAGGCTGCCACAGCCTTTCAAACTTCAGCTTACAAAGATAGTCTAAGAGTGCTTTTGGCCTTAAGCTTCTGACCTCCGGACTCAATGGGTGCCACAGCCTTTCAATCTTCCAGCCGATAAAGATCGTCTAAGAGTGCTTCTGGCCTTAAACTTCTGCCTCAAACTGCTGGGCCTTCGCTTCGAAAGTCAGCGATACCGACTTGAACCGTCCAATTCAACGCTCACACGATCGGACGATGGTGTCAGCAAAACCGCTTGTCCCAAGTCGAATCGTAAACCCGCAGTTCGTCTGAAGAGTCTGGTAACTAAAAAGTGACTTAACAGCGGGGTGACTTAAGATAGGCACCCGGGGGACGGGTGGGGTTAGCATGGTGGTTAGGGTGGGTTCGGGTGCGGAGCAGGTGTTTATTTGGGTTAGGTTTTGTAGTTTGTTTGGTCGGGACTCGTGAATCTTAAGTCACTCACCCGTTAAATCACCCCGGAGTTACCAGTATCGTCTGAAGGGCTGTGATTAAGTTCCCGAAAGGTCGAATTCTTCGTCAGTTTTGAAGCCTTTACGCTGTACTCTGGAGGTAATAACACTGTAAAGTGCGAGCCACGAAGGGTAAGTCGACCTTTCATGGAGCTCGCTTTGAGGCCTTTCCCGTCACTTGAATCCTCCTTGTTGATCCAGATAAGACCCAGCGCAAGCGCTTGCAACAGCTGACGGGATAAGCAACCACCTATTTTGTGAGGACGAGGACAGGCTATAGTTCCTAAGATGCTCTTCAAACCTGAGATAGCATGACGGAAAACACCTGCTGCTGCTAGGAACAGAAACTCATCTCCCAAGATACTCGAGAGACCCCTTCAAGTAAGCCGTTGTGTGTGCATCCCTCCTGAGAACCACTTTTATGGGGAAAAGTACGGCCAAAGGATGCGGCCAACCCGTGCGGCTCTAACATAATTCGAGAAGCCTCACCTTTACATTCACTTGTCGCAACAAGGCTTGCGTTGACCCCCTGCAGACTCTGGAGCGATGCGACCTTGGCGCTCATGCTGGCAACGCAAGCGGAGCAGACAGGCTGGTTCCAGCACGCCGCTGAGGTTGACCCTGCAGACCAGCCAAAGCAGATTGGAAAAAGGTCCGAAGCAATAGCAGTTAGCTCTAGTGCTAGGAGACCGGACTCACAGCGAGTACATAGGTGACTGGCCTGGACTCCGTGTCACACACATTCCCGACATCGCTGGCTTCCATTAAAGCAGGCTGGAATAGAAGCGGAAACATGCTCCCCTGAAGGACCCCACGGAAAAGAAAGAAGAGCCATGAGCATTTGAACTGCTCGTGTTGATTCGGCAGTCACTTCGGAACACGCAAGGGAGATCTAGCCAATATGAGGATTTGAACTGCTGCCGACCAACCGGCAAGGAAGGCAGTCTTGCGACCTGTATCAGCAAACGAGTTGACACATCAGTTATCAACAGAATTGGCCCTGCACCTTTGCCTCCATTTGAATTCTGCACCTCTTACCTGGATACGAGTAGTTTGTCAACGTCTTGAAGGCCGAGATTGTCGTGAGCGCGTCCCCACAAGCGGGCTGCCACATGCCCGTACTGTTTACGTTGCAGGTAGAGAAGCGATTGGGAGGCAGGCCCGCACTAACCAGGGAAGTTTCCATTGCCTGCGGATCAGAAATGGAGCAAGTGTAAACAGCTACACCCAACGTAAAGTGCTTCGACGAGTGCGCACAGCCAAACGAACTTGTCGGAAGCTGGTTGGTAGACCTATGAGGAGTGTCTGAAAATAACGGTAGAAGCTGGACATTGGAAAGCTACTGAGTGCGTATGTTAGACCTTCTGAACAGCCTTTCCCTGGTGGAAACATAATACCTTTGCAATGCTACGCAGCTCACAAAGGAGAACGTTGAGAGAGGCCAGAACCTTCAGCTCAACGGTTTGAACGGCCCTGAAGCCAATGAGCAAAGCTGGGCCAACAGCCCATGGTTACAAAGCAGCCACTGACATGCATTGCTGAGAGCAGGCTCCTGTCACATGCTTCACAGTTGCAGAACGGCAGGGTGGTCTTAACTAACTCAGACTTGACGTTGCTAGTTATATCAAGCTCCGGCTGACAGAAGAAACTTCCAGACATGGTTGGTCCAAGCTTGGTTAAATACACCATCTTTCAGCTAACATCTGGTGATAAACCCCTTTTAATCTTGACACCCGTTCCTTTGATATTCTGACCTAGACTTTGCCCCAACAAGCTGGATTTGGAAGTCACACCGTGTATCCTGAGTAAGGCAAGTGTGTGCTGGCAGTCAAAGTGAGGATTCCTACTCTTGGTTAGGAGGCTCAAGAATCAACACTTGTAACTGAATTAGGAACTGTCAGGCTGTTGAGACGAGATGCTAGTTACCTGTACACAGGCGACAGCGGCATCTTGGGAAAGGAGCAACTGGTCTGTGGAGTTTGCATGGCGCGTCCTCGTCTGGTAGAGTAACCCATAGATGCGGGTACAACAAGGGACATTGAAGAAGATGCTGGGGTCCGTGCCTGCACACGTTCGCATGTTGGCTTAGCTCGCAAAACCAAAGGGTTCTTGCATGAGCCAAATGAAAAGAGATGCGCGCTGCACTTTCAAGTGTGCCCACTGGCTCATAGACCAGATGCCAGCGCTAAATCACGCATGTCAGGGAGCAGGGAGCGACACCTCCGCCACTATCCCAAGAACAAAAATCCTGCCAACCGAGACTATCAAGAGGAGGAATGTGCGCACAACGACATGGTGCAAGAGCGTGTCCAAGTACTGCTGAGTTGCCTGCTGAGAAGTGCATACAGGTGCTTTCACGAGGGACACTGTCCTAACCATTAGAACATCAAAGGTAAATCCTGAACTATGAAATGGATGCACGAGGAATCTCCTTGCTGCATATGCTGATGTAGACTGCCCCCCTACCAAAACTTGCCACCGGCTTCAGATTAATCATTACGTAAAGCTAGCGTGCCCCTGTGATAGCTGATTCTCACTCAACTCTAACAGTTTCCGGTGGCAGACTGCACTGGTCACAGACTGCCTCACCTTTTGCGCAAGTGGCGATCGTGTCTGCGATGTCTTGCTGCTTGAATACGAGGGGGCAGGAGCTGTTTCCCGCCTGCTGGAGGGACCTAGCGCTAGCAACACCTACAAGCAAATGGTAATATATAATGCGAATGATAATAATAATAATAATAATAATAACAATAATTATACTATAAAGATTATGATGCTAATCTTAAGGCAGCCTGCAACACAAACTGCTTGGGGAGGGCCAGACGCGGGCCGGCGTGTCTCGACTGCGAGCGCATGTGAGAGAAATTGAAGCAGCAGCTCCAAATGCTGGAGCCCCTCGGAGGGGGGAAGGAGGAACATTGTTGAACTCGAAGAGAGTCTGCCTCCTGTTCAAATCTTTGCTGAGGAACGTGCTTCGGTCTCAAAGGGCCTGGCGACATGCAGGCAGGGGTAAAGAAAGGAGAAGCGTGTGCAGGTTGAGTAAAGTCATTTGCGCCTGGCACGACTTTACAATAGAAGAGATTGGGCCTGGAAGCGGGCACAATTGAGTTTATTAAAAACGAAACTCTTCAAAGAGTCAAGAACTCTAAAAAAATGCGTCTTGACCCCCACTCAACAGTTCAAAAACGGCCTGCTGTTACGGCTGCCTGGATCAGGTCTGAAATATAGATGACCAAACCCTAAAAGTAAGCCACTGGTAGAGGGATCCCAGGCACTCAAGAGGCTTACCACTTGCCCGAGTGACGGCTACGAAACAGAAAAAGACGGCAGAGATGCATAAAATTGCACGGACGGGTCTTCCGGCAGCAGTATCCATCATGGCGCTTCGATGCCGCAATGGCTGCTTGCCAGCACGGGCAACCTTCACTGAGCTGCAAGCCTGGAGAAGATGCAGTTGTGTCACAGTACGCTCTCAACTCAGACGAGAGTCTGCTCAATCTTGCTCCTTGACAAGCAATCTGCGTCATCCTTTCCGCTGCAAACAATCTCCTCTTTCTACAGATAACACCGGAAAGCGTACGCGACGCACCTACTTTCTTCAAGGGCTCCTCAACTCTGAAGACTTTTGCGATGCACCTACTTTCATAAAGGGCTCCTCAATTCCCACAGATTTTGTGAAGAAGCTTCAGCACACAACAACAGTTCTTCACCAGTTGGAGAATTAGTCATGCCCCCAATGCTGGTGACTCCAAAGGCAAACCTAGTGGAGCGAAGGCTGTAGCTGCGCACAGCATCCAATTCTGTGGTGTATTCACAGAAAGTCTTTTCCTACTAGGCACAGCCAGACCAGAATAAATCTTATAAATGTTCGGCCTAAATAGCGTGTTATAGATGAATTGTACGAGCCGTTAGCCATTACTGCCGACAAGTTCCGAGGACACTGGTAGGTCCTCAATGTTTTTCGTTGACCAACATGTGGCTCACGCTAGGACCAACAGAGGGGCACCCGTCGTCCGTGTCAGATACATTTTCCAACCTTTTCTGTGCCTAAAATTCAAGCCCTGCGAGTACGAAGGATCTTAATATCCCAAAACTGTGAAACCGAGGCTCAAGCAACTCAATCATGCAGGTGGCGGCTGGCTTCATATTAGACAGAAGTTGAAGTAGTAGCAAAGAATTGACCCAAGGATTTTGAAGGGGACTTGCAACCTGCGGCCGCAATATGCTCTACAGCAGTCAAGCAAAGGCCCCGCACAGTGGCTTGTTATGTGTCCCCACATTCTTGAAAGCAACAGGTGACACACATTGTTGACAAGATTCCTTTAGCTTGGTTGTCTTTTTGGCCTGGTAGCAAGCAGCAGGACCCAAATGACATTCAAAATGGTTTAGAAATCCTGTCATGAAGTGGGAGCCTGCCATGAAGAGGCATGACCTTCAACCCGTTGTGCCTTAAGGCCTTGCATATTTGCTTACCTGAGAAAGACCTCCAATGCTAAAACATTCGGTCAATGTTCGGGTCACGAACGTCTATCTGCATCTAAAAGTCTACCACGATCGCCGACAGCTCTTGCGTTGCATTGACAGGCCCTAACTTGCTCCCTTTCTGTTGCTCAACTCGACCAGCTACACAACCTGGCCTATGTGCGCTTCAATCACTGATTCTTGGACTGCATCCGTACGCAGCCCCGCTGTCATCCACGACCAGCTCGCAACGGTCAGTTTTGCTGCTCCTTAGGGGCTAGGAATCTACAAAGTGAAACCTACACATAGTTAGACTGCCGCAATAGCCACGTATGTCACAATGGGCTACCGCCAGCAACCCTCCTCAAAAGGCAGAATTTCAGCTCACGCTCCCCGTTCCAATGAGAGAAACTTGTGTTTGCACTTTCTCAAACTGTTCAAAGTAAAAGGACTGTGTAAAGCTGTGGAGCATGAGCCGGCCACTGCTTAGCTTAAAAACTCCTTCCAGTGCAGGGCGTCCCCGGAACCACCGCCTCTTTCTTTCCTTCTTCAAATTCAGGAACTCAGAAAACGTCCAAGAAGAAGCGTTGGTTGTTGAACTTGTGGAGCACCACGCACTATACCGTGACTAGTAACTACCTACCTACCTACCTACCTACGGTACTTCATTGAAGGAACCTACCCTACCTACGGCCGGTACCGGTACCTACCGTAGTCCAACGTGATAA